AGAGACCTGGACGTATCGCGGGGCTGGGAACGGCCACCTCGCTCACTGCGTCCTGGCCCCAGGTGGGATCTTCAAACCCAGCCAGTTTTCCTTGGCTCCTTTGGTTTGGTTTTCAGTAGGTTTCCTGCCAGCCTCCTGCTGCCGTCCCTCCCTTGGGCCGCTTCCCGGCGGGATGGGTGGCCAAGGATGTTGCACCCGGCCGCGCTGCTGCCGGCTTTTCCGAGCGCATTCCCAGCGGAAGCCGGTGGCTGCCGCACGAGCCGCTTGGGATCGCATCCCGCTGGGGCACTGCTTGCCTCAGCAGGCAGGGCTGGGCCGCATTCCCGGCTTTCAGTAATTCCTAGCACAGAGCAAGGGCGGCTCCATGGCGCTGCCGGGGTTGGAGCTGGTGGGAGCTGCTGGAGCAGGATGGGGGACCCAGTGCTTGGCTCCAGGACAAGGACGGATGGGGGCCGGTGCTGCTGCGTGGCAGCGGGAATGTCTCAGGACACAGCAGGGAATGGAGGTGCGGGGGCCTTTCCTCACGTGCATAACTTAGGGAATGACAAAGGTTTATTTTACACAGTTGTATCATATGTTGATGAGATGCTAATCTGTACAAAGAGGAAAAAAAGGCACGCTGTAACTGAGCTCCCCAAAGCACCTCACGTTCACTCGGCTTCGTCCTTTTGAATCAACTAACAAGAGAAAATAAAATCAACAGCATCCATTATATGCTCCCTCCCGTAAGAAACGCAGGCAAGCTTAGGGTGGCATGGACCAGTGACTTCCAAACTGTCATCTGCTGCCCCTAGGCGCACCACGAGCTACTTTTAAGGGCCTGTAGAAGTATTTGAGAAAAAAACAAACATACAGGATTTAGTTCTATCAGAGGTTTGCAAATCCAAAGCAACTGAAAACACTAGATCCTTTAGGATCAGACATGGAGTCAGGGGGATCACAGAATCATAGAATGCCGAAGGTTGGAAGGGACCTCAGAGGTCACCTAGTCCAACCCCCCTGCACACGCAGGGTCACCCAGAGCACGTGGCACAGGGCTGCATCCAAACGGGGTTTAAAGATCTCCAGAGAAGGAGACTCCACAACCTCTCTGGGCAGCCTGTGCCAGGGCTCTGGCACCCTCACTGTCAAAAAGTGTTTCCTTAAGTTCCTGTGGAACTTTTGGTGCCTCAGCTTGTGGCCGTTTCCTCTAGTCCTATCACTGGCCACCACTGAAAAGAGGCCGCCCCCTCCTCCTCACTGCCTCCCTTGAGGTATTTATACACGCTGATCAGGTCCCCCCTCAGCCTCCTCTTCTCCAGGCTGAACAGGCCCAGCTCTCTCAGCCTTTGCTCATAGGGCAGATGTTCCAGGCCCCTGATCATCCTGGTAGCCCTGCGCTGGACTCTCTCCAGCAGCTCCACATCTGCTGGTTTTGCCTCTGGTTTTGCCTCTGCCACTAGCCACGTGACCGCGGGCAGTCGCTTCTCCTCTTCCTCCCTTCCCGCCCTTCCAGCAGTGCCGAGACCATCCATGAGTAGCACAGAGCAGAACAGAGCCCTGGGGCCTGCGGGGTCGGAAAGCCTCACTATTAACACAGGCTTCCTGTATCCTTGGAAGAAGCACTCCAGCAGCTCCACAAGTTAAAAGGCATTTAAAGATGGAATCCGACCTACCAGGGAGTCAAGCATGGAGCAGTATACAGGCGTCTCCCATAGCACCCTTAACAACTTAATCCTTAACGAAGCTGCCCTGGGGCCTGGCACGGTTTTGAGGAGCGAGGCCGGCTGAGGAAACCTGTCAGCAGCGGCTGCCGCTGGCCCCCTACCCACCAGGCTGCTTCCACGTCGTCACGCACGTTCTCAGCTCGAGCAGGGATGCAGAGACGCCGCTGGCACCAGCACGCGCGGCGAGCGGCTCCTCAAGGTTATTCCTGCTGCGTTTTGGTGGTATTTATAAAGCCTGTGTGGAGTTGCTATGGCAGCTGCTCCTGACAGCCCGATCCGTATTCAAGGCTTCTCCTCTCACCTTCACCAGCCCAGCGACCTTTTCTTGGCAAGGAGGAGCTCGCAGGGCTCCTGCAACCTACCCGTTCAGCGAGACGTCACACGACCCACCGTGCAAAACTCCGATTTTTTACAAGTTAATTGTAGTCCCTTAAACTTTTTGAGATCATTCTTCCAAGCATATATTGCAGGTTGTAGTCTCAGTTCAGGTTCTCCTTTCTGTTTGCAATTTAAGCCTGAGAGGGCTCTGCAGGACAGCTCATCCGAGACCGAGACAGCAGGGAATATTTCAACCCAAATCAGAACCAGAAGGAATAACCCGTCACCGTAGCGGCTAGACCACCAGCAAAGGGACAGGAAGCAGGAATTGCAACTCCACCTTCTCTTAACATCTTGGATATCAAGTGATTTAAGCAATTCTTCTTCTACATCTCTTGCTTTCCAAAGCCCAGTTTGCAAAACTCTTGCTTCTAGGAGAGCTTCCCTTACAGCAGCTGAACAACTTGCACCAGGGGCTGCTCGCAGATGGGAGCGACACAGCTTTAACCTGGTGGTAGAAACTCATCTCTGTCAATATTCTTGTCTATTTTAGGGGATTTTGCACAAAGCTGCAGCAAGGCAGCCACACGTGATGCACGACCCGGGCCTGGCAGCAGGTTGGACCGGCGCGGACCCAACGCGCTCCTCCCTGCGAACGCCAGCGCGTGGCTCCCTCTTCTCCAGCTTCATCCCAGCACCACAGCAGGACTGGCATTCTCATCACACCTTCACTGTAATTAAAAGACCAGGAAAAAATAATCCCTCAATGATTGGGAAGAGTTCATTCCAAAAACAGACATTTTCTCACTGTTTCCTCTGCCGCTTTCTCCTCCCCACATCCAGGTTGTAGAGTAAGTCCTTGCTTGCCTGGTGGAGGGGCTCCTTGCCCTACACACGAACCCTTTTATCTTCCCCACGACCAAAACAGACCAGGCTACCTTTAGTACTTTGTAGTGCCTTTTAAACTGGATTTAGCTGAACTTCCTATGCAAAAATCTGACCTTCCCCGAAATCCCTTGATCAGCAATTTCCTTTCTTTCATGTCGGAGGCATTATGAAACACTGGAAACTGCACATACTTTCATAAGGGAGTGAGAAAATCCAACCAAAAACTCCCTCACGAGAGGCTTGGCTTCTCTTTCCAACGTTGAAACCTCTCTCCTAACACAAATTTTGCTCTTGAAAGGCTCCTGGTCAGCAAGCAGCTGATGATGCAGCTTCCTGACCGTGCTGAGCCCAGGGCCAAGTCATGGAAGCTGCCCAGCTCTGGGAGGTCTGAATCAGGTGCTAACGGGGACCAGCTGCTGGAGCCTCCGCTCTGTCTCCTCCAGCCTCCTTCTAAGCGCTGGGCACTGGCACATTCACTGCGTGGTCATTTACAGCAAGGCAAGGCCAGTTGAGAGGCTTGCCTTGCAAGGCTCCCCCTGAAAAAAATAGACCCAAACTTTGGGGTCTGTTTTTATCAAAAAAAAAAAAACCTTTTTTTTTTTTGGGAAAAAAAAATCTGTTTGCTGCCAAGGACTTTGCTGAATGCAGCGTCCCTGTGACACACGGGAAACATCTGCACCGAGCGGCTGCCTCTGGGGAGAGGCACGAGAAAAGCACTCACAGGCTCAAGGAGAGACCAAGGCTCTGCACGTACATTTATTACTTCACACAAACACATTTGCTTGTTGTACAAAAATCTACAGTGCCACCCAAGAGAGTGTTTACAAAGGATAACAAAACGCGGCCTTAGACTAAGCTTTAGTGTAACTTAGGTGTAAACTATTGAAGCACCACATACCGAACAGCTGGTCTGCATGTACTATATATATATATATATATATATATATACAGACATATACATATATGTTTTAATACACACATGCATAGAGTAAACACGTGGTGGCAGCAGGCTGTGACGTGTCAGAACGCTGCACTCTGACGATCCAACCGCCCCAAACCAGGGCTTGCCCCAGAGGGACATGAACGGGACGTGTGGGGCTCGCTGACCTCCAAGCCTGGTCTGGGGGCCTCCAGCTGCTCCTGGTGGTAGCCCAGCCCTGCTGCCCTGGTCGCTGCTGACCCTGAACAGTCTCAGCAGGGCAGGGAGCGTCGTCACCCCATGGAGGGCCGGCCATGGGCCCAGGAGCACCCACAGACACAGGCCTGGACGCAGCAGCAGAGCGTGCACAGGGCGATGCACAAAGCCCCTGATCTCTTCAGGCAGAGATCAGCAGAGCTCGCCACCCTTGCAGCGAAGGGCTGCAGCGTCCCCGCGACCGAGCGGCCAGCTCCGCTGCCGTGCCAGGGGTGGTTGAGCACTGGAAGGCAGAAGGGTGCTCGGCGAGCCAAGGAGCTGCATTGTGGCTCTGCTCTGATGTGTGGGGCTGTTGGCAGGGTGCACACGAGGAGGCTGCTGAAGCCCAGCTCTGCTCCCGGGCCCCCCACACGGGACCCCCGGCCTGGGCCCCCCACACGGGACCCCCGGCCCGGGCCCGCCACAGGCTGCACTGTGCACCCTAGGATTGCTCTGAGAGCAGCGAGCTGCTACTCGAGCATCACTCACACAGGAATCTCTCAGTTTTGCTGATTCCTACTGCAGTGAAACCAAAAACCTATGAGCTGTAGCCTGCAGCCTTCATAGGGAGAAAAGGACAACGGTGGCAATGGCTGTGAAGCTTTCCCTTTATAAAGGTCTAGTTAATTCCTGGGATGCACGGACCAGCTCTTGGATGCATTTACCCAACTGTAAGGGGTCAGCACAGCCTCTGCTCGCTCATCTCCCAGTGCAGAGAGCCCCGCTCCACTCAGTCCCCCAGACAGCTGTGAGGGAACCCGAGGCTTCCCCTGCACCAAGTTACAGCAGCTGGCCAGGAAAGGAGGAGCTGGAGCTTTTATTCCCCGCAAAGCTGAAAATGGCCAAAGTCGACAATCTTCCTGTGCTAACCCCGCCGTCCTTGAGTCTAACGGGGCCTAATCCTGGCGAGCAGAGACACTCTGTTCTTCAGAAAAGTATCAACAGCAGCTGTGTCACAGCCAAGCCCCACAGGTATTTTTCCGGAGTGCCACATGGAAACACGTCCCAGCTGAGCTTCACGCCAGAGAAAAGACTGACAGAATTTCCATGACGATATTAATCTCCCTGACGCTTCTCCACGCGTGTTGGGGCAGAACCTACAAAGCGACAGGATCAACCCAAGCTGTGTTCTTCATATAAAAAGAAAAAATAAAAATACTGACAGGCAGAAAACAATCCCAAACGCAGCCCATCCAGACAGACGCTGCACGCTGTCACGTTTACACCCTGACAGCTGAACGGAAGACGCACTAGAGCTGCGTTTACCTCAGCAGCTCACACGTGTCACGCCCCAAAGGTTCTCAGATCGGCGTGACGAGCCACTGACGTGATGTGCAAGCCCCAAGAACTAGCAAAGAGGAGCAGCAGAAGGACCTGTCCCCGTGCAGGAGCAGGGGACGGACCTGGAGACCTTACCTGGTGAGAGACATCTGGGTCCCAGGCCCCTCTGCCACAGCGGCTCCGTCACCAGAGGTCTCCACAGAGCCCCAGGGCAGAATATCCCTGCAGGGCCCCTCCACGTCGCCAAGATGCCCAGGAAATCACCGCCAGCTTCAGAGGGTGGGTATTTCTCCATAAACCTGCCTTTTTGTTCTCCTTCCTAGCAGGAGAAGCCCCTGCATGTCAGGGACACAGCCGGGGGCCCAGAAGGGCTCTCGCACCCTCCTAGGTTTCACCGACCCGTCTCGGCCCCACACTTGAGCTTCTGCTTAGGGCTGGGAGGGGAAGAAGCAGGTAAGAACAGAAACAAGGTCACAGAGATCATTTTCCAAAAAGGAGTTACACACTTAGACATTTTTATGAAACCTTCATAAAAAAAAAACAAATGTAAACACTTCTACAACATAAACAAACGCAAATTCCATTGCCTAGGACAGTTAGGAAAGAGTTCATGCCTAATTGGAAGTGGAAGCCCACAGCCATCTCTTTTAAGGACAGCCCTAATATTAGTGTTTTTACTTTATTAAATTCCTGGTACTTAAATAATAATAATAACATCTAGAAAGCACAAAGTCTAGTTGGATGATACACAAGCATAAAAGTGCAAGGTGTAACTTAAGTCAAAGTGCCTATGGGATGAACTACGCTTAGAGCTCAGGCATAAACTGGACTAAAAGCCCACAAGGCCCTTTAGCTTTTCCTCTCGTTTCCAACAGGAACAGCCACAGGCAGCACCAGTCCAGTCCAAAGGGACATCAGTGTCCCTGGGTGCACAAGAGAGCAGAGCTGAGCCCACGTCCTAACGAAGGCCAATCCTTCCTTCCTCCTGCAATGCTAATTTATCCACACACTTTGCTCTGAACACTGGAGCAAAGAGACCCACAGGAGAGAACAGCAATTTCGATGCCACATTCAAGGCAGGCAGAGTCAGCAGCTCCGCTGAGATGCGGCTCTTAAGACGGGGGGAACAGGGAGCCCTTGTTAGCGCCTCTGTACTCACAGCCCCGTGGCAGATCTATTGATTTCAGCCATGAAAGATCCCTACTGGAGACAAGAAACACTCCTCTTCACCAGACAAGTAACAGATTATCCTCAAAAGTATATTTTTTTCCCTTCCTGTTTGTCCAGTTTAACTCTTCAGACATTAAATATCACTTATAATATGTTTGTTACTGTGTTCATTCCCTTTAAATGCGAATGGGGCTTAAAATGAGATCTTGTCACCAGAACATGGGTGGAAGAAGGGGAGGGGGAAAAGAGGCAGACCTTTCCTTGAACCTCTAAAAGGATTTCCAACTCATTTTACAAGTGAAAACAACAAAAACCATTAAAAAGTCCAGCAAGAGAGAGCTGTCACTGAGGTTAAGCAGACCCGAACTCTGCCATCCATTTTTCATACTTCTCCAAGTCTGCCGCAGAAACCGATTTGGAGATTTTCTTCAGGGCCAGCTCAAAGTCCCCCTTGGTCACCGGCATCTGGAGTTCCTCTTTGGAGAGGGCGCGGATCTCTTCCGGGGCTAAACCGTTGATGCGGCGCCTCATGGCCATCAAGGAGGCATCCCTGCAAATGGACAGTGCAAACAGGACAACGTGGGGGAGCTGTAACTTGTGCTGTGAGCTTGGGAGTTCTCATTGCGTTCTCTTGCTTTTGCATTCGCTTTCTTGGTGCCAGAGCCCTGGAACAGGCTGCCCAGGGAGGCTGTGGAGTCTCCTGCTCTGGAGATCTTCCAAACCCGCCTGGCCCCGTGCTCTGGGTGTCCCTGCTGGAGCAGGGGGTTGGACTGGGTGATCCCTAGGGGTCCCTTCCCACCTCAGCCAGTCTGTGGTTCTGTGCTAGAAACCACTGGCAGGAACACTTACAAAAGCAGTTATTTACCACAGAAGGTGTGTGGATCCCATCGTTCTTAGCTTCCCCATTCCCCGACCACTACATTAATTCAACGTAATGAACGCGTCGGTACCAAAACCCATTTAACCATATGGTAAATGTGCAGAGATAATTAAAACTATAAAACTGAAAGCCTTTTACAATGATTCATAGAGAAGAAATCTTGTGTCTTCAGCGTGGGAAAGGGCAAGGTGGGAGGGGAACTGTGCTCAGATTTTCTTTTTCTCAAGTAGTCTGAATTTTGCATCTCCCCTCTGCCCCTTAGATTCTGGCCCTCTCTGCACCACGTAGCTCACTAGGGGAGCCAGCAACAGCTCCCCTCTCTTCCCTTCCCTTTCTCCTCTCTGCTCGTGGCACTGCAGCCTTCTCCTCTCCTCACATTCTGGGCTCCCCACAGTGGGTTGAGGCTGAGCCCTTGGCTGCTGGCACAGGCACTATGGAGTTTACAAAGTCACCCTGGGAACAGCCTCTCTTGTGCTTTGGGTTCTCATCTAGACCACGCTGTGCTATGTGAGGGAAACTAAAACTTCAATTCCCAAATTCCTACCCACACCAGTGGAATTCCTGGGCTCCCGGCTTCCCTCAACAAGCTGCCCCAGAGTGAGAGCTGCAGCAAGTCCATCTACTTGGGGAGCATCTGGGGAGAAGCATCTGAGACCGGGCTCAACTTCTCATGTAAACGGGAACTGAAAGTTTGATTCTTTTCTTCATGCCAGAATTTCCCACGGAGCAGGGAATGAGACTACTGCAGTGGGGATCTGATCCCTGGGACAGTGTCTGTGGTTAACACAACCTCCTGGAGGCGTAAATCCAATAATTCTGTTACAGACACTGTCTGCATCACCTGTGCACCCAGAAGCATCAGAGAGAAATCAAAACCCCGCTGCAACTGGTGCTGTTTCAACATACAATATATGGAAGCCCCAAAGAAAGGTCTTATGAGAAGTTCCTTTGTACCAGGAAACTCTAGCTCCTAAATCCATGGGATTAGAAGCAAATCCAAACCAGTTTTGTGCTAGATAAGCAACATGCAATAAATACAGACAATGGTAACAGGTAAGATTTGCCTTTTTTTTTTTTTCCCCCCTCTTAAGACTTGAGCAAACTCAGTCCACATCTTCTGTGGAGACTGCATTAGACTGCTCAACATGACAGGAACGGTGGCACTAAATGGTTCTGGGCCTCCCTCACAGCCACAGCCAGCACAGCCTCAACTTTTATGGCTTAAAGCAACACGTTTATGCAGTTATAAAGCTGCACATGCAGCTTTATTTGAAAATTGAAGTGAACAAGATACCTGCAAACGTTAGTGATGTCAGCACCAGAATAGCCTTCAATTTTCTCAGCAATTTCTTCAAGGCTGATATCAGGATCCAGCTCTACTTCCCGAAGGTTGATCTTCAGTAGTTCTGCTCTCCCTTTTGCTACAACATAAATAAATGTTTCGAGACTTAAAAGAGTAGCATTGAAGAAAAAGAAAAAAAAATACAACTTAGATTTTCAATTAAAAATACAGAAGGGTTTAATGTAGAAAAGTGCCATAATAAATCACAGTAAAGTGTGCAGACGAGCAGGGCAAAGCATATGGGTAAAGCAGCGCATTTTAACCAGTATAACCTAGAGACATTTTCAAAGGTCATACATCATTAAAAACTTCTGTTATGTGACAGGTGACAAAGCATTTGGGCACACAATTCCCAAGGGCACAAAAGCACAATCCTGCTTCAGCTTCTTCTCAGAACCCTTTGGATTCACTTGCTGTTCAACTTGTGTATTATTCACACACCTTCATTAGAAACACACAGAGGATTCCATTAACAGAGCTGTAGACAACACAAAACCCTTAAGAACAGGCTGAACTTTAAGCAAGCATCTAAGTGCTTTACCCATTTGGAGCCAAGAAAGCTGCTGAAGCCTGACAGGAGGCGGATATATTAATACAGTAAACACAGTAACACACTTGCAGTACAAACAGTCTCACATGCCCCTTGCAAAAGCAGGTGCAAAATGCACTTAGTAACACCCAGACACGGAGAGGGACACCTGTGCACACAGTTAACCCTTGTCCTTTGGAGGGCACGTGCCCACGTGCACAGAGCAGCCCAGGCCTGTGGCAGGGAACTCACGTGTGACAGCTCAGGCCTCGGTGTCACTGTGGGCACGGGGGCCAAGGGGCTCAGTGCTGTGCTGGCTTTTGCACCAAAGGCAGCGTGCACCAGCTCAGCAGCTTTATCTCCACAGCGAGCAATTTTTATGACTTACAGGGACAGCTACAGAGAAAGCAGCAGTAAGAAAAGCTAAAAGTCTTAAAGAAACATCCATACTCATGTTTTATTTATTAGCGACCCTAATTATAAAAAAGAAAGGGGGAAAAAACCACAGCAAGCATGTCTAAGTCTGCCTTTTCTTAATGCTCTGCAGAGCTGTCAGTAACACAGAGTGCTATCAGTCACACACAGCTGCCACTGGCTATAAAATGGAGATTTATTATCTACAGAGCACCTCAGGATACACATGGCAAACCTGCACAGAGCCTCCTCTCTACTGGAGAACATTTTTATTTGTCTTAAACTTTTCCCGGTAGGATCAGCAAGCCCTTACACTGTTCTGGAAATGATACACTGAAGAATGTAGAGTCACACCAAATGCCACTGTTTGCAGGTGTATACAGAACATAGCATATCATAAAATTCTTCAATTAAAATATTTGGCCACATCAAATTACACAGCGGAATTATCAATACATATCATTTACATTTTCATGGAACAACTCAACGTCCTCATGTACAGAATAAATGCAATAGAAAATAAGACTTGAAATAGAACAGAACACATTTGAGATGTGGCCCAGGGTATAATATAATGTGTCAAACCCCAATCTTGTTTAATTAGAAACAAGTGCAAAAACGGATAGAATTTTAAGCTAATTGGTCATAAAGACAAGCATCCTGTTAGGAGCTCCTGTTAGGAGCTGTAGCTGCCTGTAAGCTGCAAAGACAAGCTGCAGAACTGTTACGGTGTCCTTATACCTGCTAAGCTCAATCACAACTGCTGTCACCGGGAACACGCATCTCGTTATCCCGAGTGCTCACGCAGGGAGGGGAGGCAGCCGCTGCAGCAGGCAGAAACAAAGCGGTGCAAACTCCAAGTGATAGGAATCTCAAAATTAATAGGACAGATAAAATGACAGGCAGGAAAGCTGAGACGTCTTAGGGCGGGAGAGTGATGAGCCTGCTGCTCTCTGAGTGACTGCGAGCCCAGGCAGAAAGGCCAGCAAGCCCTGATTTACAGGGAACCAAGCCTGCCAGGGAAAAATTCATGGATCCACTTCTCTGCGTTCATCTGCAAGGGCAGGGAGTGCATTTGCAGCACTTCCCAATGTGTCCAAAGGCTGCCTTTGATGATCACTCAAGGACTGACTGTTAAACATTTAAAATAATTCCAGGCTCATTAAAACTAACTCTCCTTCAGAATGTGAGAACCCATCAATGGGCTTGCAATGAAAAACTGCAGCTCTTTGTTTTCAAGCCCCCGAGCAAGTATTTGCTTTTTCTCTCGCCCTCTTTAAAGTGATCCAGCCAAATGATTAACCCCTGAAACTCACCCTTCATCACAGAAACATCAAAATTCATTCCAAACCCAGCAATCCTGGAACAGCCTTAAGCTAGTCTTGGAATGACTCTTGTAAAGGAAAACAGCAAACATACCTGTGGGCAGAGGGATATAAATCCTCTTCTCCAGTCTCCTTCGGAGAGCTTCATCAATATCCCAGGGAAAATTTGTAGCTGCTAACACCATCACCATTTTGGAAGGGTCATCATTTTCCAGAGCACCACCCACCCCTGAAAGGAAACAGTTGAGAGAAATTTCACCCCACTAGGCTTCCAGATTGAGGGGTTTGCAAAGCACAGGACAAACCCTGCAGAAGCTTGAGCAAAGCCTGGCAGTGCTTCCCAAAAGTATCCTAGCATAGGAGTGACAGGACCACCATTGCCACGGAAAACGGGATAGCTGGCTCCTTTGCACAGGCAAGGGAAGGCTCTTTTGGCCAGTATTAATAATGCAGTCGTATGTGATGTGTACTTATTAGTCCCACCAATAGCAGAACAAAAATGCTACTTCTGTTGAATTTGGCCACAGAAGAAACAGGAACGACTCCTTGGCCTCCCCCAAGAAAGGCTGCAAATAAATAATCTTCTGGGGACAAAAGTTGCCTGTCCTGAGTTCAGTGCTATGAACATGCACATCTGAGGACATTATAAATGGAGGTTACATGATAACTACAGCACAGAGATAGTTATCAAACCAGTGAACCATCCAATGGTCCTTAGACAGTGCTGCTCACCCTGTGCACCTGCACACAACACGTACTGAGTATGCTTAACAGGGTGCTATTAGCTGCCACAACAGGCTATGGCAAAATCAGGTCTGCCAGTGGCAACCCTGCGCAGGAGACTGTGGGAATGACATTTGTTTAAACTACATCAGAAACAAAGGCTTGAATTCAATCGCACAAATGTTCACTAGTCGCTTCTCCTCGCGTCAGCTCTCTCCTAAAAATGAACCTAAAAATGAAATGAAACTTTTCCACTTCATTAAAAAAAATAAAGAAAACAGAATAGCATTTTCATTTATTTGCTTTTGAACATTCTGAAAATGCACTACTCAAACTCCATCTTATCTTTCCTCTGCAAACAAAGCTGGTATTTTTCAGCTTGCTCAAATTCCGCTGTTCCCTCCTGGAAAGAAACAGCATCCCCCCCATCCCGAAGGCAGATCTGGGCACTAGTTACCATCCATCTGCACAAGCAGCTCTGACTTGACTCTGCGACTCGCCTCGTGCTCGTCCGAGGTGCCTCTGCGGCTGCAGATGGAATCTATCTCATCAATGAAGATCGTTGTTGGAGCGTAAAATCTTGCCTTCATTCAAATGAAAACAGCATTATTAAGACTGCAGCAGCAAGCAGAGGCCCGCACGAGACCACAACCGGACCGAGCCACGTGAAGAAATAAAGAAACCTAAAGAAAACGGCATCTCTCTTCTCCCTTCTCCCTGTTGCAGGAAAGTAATTTAAAGTGTTGATTTGACAAACAGTTTGGCATATGCTCAAGCACCACTTTAAAGGTACTTAAGTGCTTAAGCACCACTTTAAATGGTACCCCATGTGTCACAAGTCTTTCAGTGTTCCTTTCTTAAGCAACTTTCCTTTTCTTAAGCAACTTTTCAGTGTTCCTTAAGCAACTCATGTTGCAAAGAAGAGAAGGAACACAATCAAAATATAGGCAGTTTCTAATGTCCAAATTCTCATTCTTCCTGGGAAAGCATAGAGAAAAGAAAGGAGCTCGTCCAATCTCTGAAGAGACTGTTTTTCACTGAGTCTATGGGAGAAGTTAAATGAAGAACATGGAAAGGTGAAGGACCCCTCAGCACACGTCTGTATGACATGTCTTCACATACCCGCATGATGAGCAGCGCCCAATAATTCACTGAGAAGCTTTTGCACTCACCAAAATAGTCACAGAACTGAAATCTATTTTGCTTCTAGAATAACAGTTCCCCAACTCCTCCAATTTCAAATCTTCCTTTTATGGGTTTCTTATCCCAAACAGTGAGAACTGAATCCTTGCCAAGTTCATGGCTCTACATGGAACTGCTGCAATTCCATCTATAGCTTGGGAAACGTGATCCTGAGCAACATTCCTTCCTTTATCACCAAGAACATATCAAGAGAACGACTGCAAACTGTTACCTAGCCAAGGGGCATCAGTGCAAGGAGCTCCAGCATGAGCTGGAGCTTTGGGGAACGGGCAGAAAGGCCCCTTCTCCCCCTGGTGATCCAGAGACCCCATCCTCAAGGACCTACCATTTCAAACAGGAGGCGGACTAGCTTTTCAGACTCTCCCCTGTACTTAGATGTCAGAGTAGAGGAAGACACGTTGAAGAACGTTGTGCCACATTCAGTAGCAACAGCTTTTGCTAGCATGGTTTTGCCAGTGCCAGGAGGACCAACCATGAGCACACCCTGAAAGGTAAAGACAGAAGTAATGAGTGATAAAAGCAGAAATTTGTGTTTGCAACCAGCTGCAGTAGATCTTAATAGTCTCTGAGATCTGTTTAAATGCTTAAAAATACAATTATCATCAGTGGAAGACAAAAGAACCGTGTTTTATGAGAACAGCATGGAAGTGCCTCTCCATTTAAGAACTTCTAAGGCCATATTACTGCATCTTAGCACCCTTAGCCCCTCCTGGCTGAAGCAGTGTCCCTACCACTGTGCCAGAACATGGCTGCTTTTTCTGTTTGACAGATGAGGAACCGTGGCTCACGTGGATTACAGCTCAACCCCACAAAACCCTCAGTGATGCCTCAAAAACTTTAAGCTACAAAACTCAACTGCACTCATTAAGTGCCAGGCAGACACATCAGCACGTCCTTCTGCCCATGGCCTTGTAGTCTATGGGAAAGTCTATGGGAAGGAGTCTATGGCAAGGAGCCCAGATGGCTCCCAGTGCAGCACACACGTACCCACTACCCTGCAAGCAGGTTTTCTCACTAGCCACACAGTGCCCTCAGCATCCTCATTAAGATTAAGCATTAAGACCTGCTAATCGCCCGGATTACACTGAAACATAGAAGTTTTCAAGTGAGCTGCTGCACCAGCTCCTGAGTATGTGGGCTCCTGCCATGAGGTTACTGCTGATTCTCAGAAGAAAAGTGACTCTTGATATTATTTTCAAATACAGTTTGAATATATTTCCAAATACAGTTATCTTTCCGAGTAATCTCTCCAACCCTGCAGCAGTGAATAGGGCACTAGAAGAGGGCACTGTGGTTTGGAACACAGCACTATGAATATGTGGTTCTCAAGCAGCTTTGCTTTTCTTTGACTGCAGAACCTCATTACATGCCAATGAGAGTTCTCCGAAGTAAAGTTGCACTGTGCTGCAAGGGTAATCAAATTAGCTGGAATTAGAATTGCACATCATAATGTGCTTTGCAATTAATATCTTACATAAAATGCCACAGCAATAAAATACGCGTTAAACGCAAGCCACAGTGCAAATTAGGTTTCATCTCTTCCTCACAAAAAATTACTTCAAAAAGCCCCAAGAATGACATGGAAGAGATCTATAAAAACAAATCAACCGGGAACACAATTATTCAAAAATGTACTATTCAAAAGCAATAGCCTCAGTGCTCCCGTTTCCATTAACACTTAATACCTTTCCTGCCATTTAACACTTTACTGATGCAAGCTCCACAGACATTCATGGGTAAATTAAGTCAGAAATGTCGGCTCTCCTTCGGCAGAGCTAACGCTCCCGTGTCGCTCCGGCTGAACAAGGTTTCCTGAACTCCAGGGCAACAAACACAAAATGTAAATGGAGGCTTTTCCCTCCCAGGAACGTTCAGACCTACGCTATGGTTTGAGCTGCTGCAGAGCCTGCCATAGTAGCCTAGCAAGCACAAAATGTGTTTCTAAATTTGCTTAGTCCATAGTTCAAAATAAGCTTCCCCTCAATCCAAATCACACTTGACCCTGCACAAACTCTTGTTTGCAGCTGGTGACATCAGGAGCTATCGCCCTTTTTTTGGCGCTGCTTCAGGCTTCCATCTTTGTGGAAGGTCGGATTCTGCCTCCTGCTAGGTGTCCTGCTCAGTGCTGCACGGTGCTTTGCACCTCCCGTGTCGCTCTTAACCGAGTGCCACCCCGCACATGGCACTGGTGACATTATGGATGTGCTTCATCCAAGTGCACAGCAGCCACACTGGGGGTGCAGCCAGAGCAAAGCGAAGCTCTCTGGGGATAAAGCAGATCGAAACACCAGTTAAAAAAGAGAGAGAAAAGGTAAACTGGAATTCCCAGCAAAACTAGATGTGCGCGGTTGTAAAAACAAACACATACCATCAAATTCTTTTTTCCTCTTTGCAATCGAGGAGGCTGCCACTTACTCACTAGTTAAAATCCTTGAGGAACACAAAGCCTCCTTTCTTCTTGCTCTAAGGCCCTGCTAATCCAGACTGCTCCCATACGGAGCCGAAAGGCCCGGCAGGGAGCGAGTGTTCGGATGCAGGCACTGCTGCTTGTTGTTGTAGCAATCACTGGCAGCGCAGTGGGAAGCCCAGCAAGCAGCCAGGCCTTCCTGGCACAAAATACAGCTCAGGAAGCCCACGGGCACTGGGAAAGGCCTGGCTGCAAGGCCTGGCTGCAGGGAGGCAGCTCTCGTGTGGAGGCAGGACGAGAGCCGGCTCCTTCGTGCCAGGCACCGGCCTCTGCAGCAGGAATAGGCTGCGAGGGCTGCCTGGGGAGCTGTTCTCACAAGAGACTGAGCATCCAAAGGCACATTTGGCTGCCTTTTCCCTGAATGCTTGTCCTGAATGCCTAGGCTCAACAAATGCCTGCTGCTACACTGATTACCGCGAGAAACAGCCTTCCCTTCAAAACTCCTCATGCTTGTAGCACAGTCAGAGGTCAACAATAGGGAAAATACACGCTGCTCTGTGTGAAAAATAAATTGAGGAGAGTTACAGCTTCACAAGTCACCAGGAAAAAGGCTAACAATGAAGGCTCTCCATAGACTCTACGGGAACCAATCTGCATTTCAGACTGAAGGCATGAAATAATCTTTAGAGTGTTTTTTTTTGTTTTTTTTTGTTTTTTTTTTTTTAACTCTATGTCTGCAGCAAACTATTTTCCAGGTGTGACCCAGGCCAGTAGGGAAGCACAATCCCATGCCCAGAGGAGGAGACCTCAATCCTCAGCGCTGCCACTGCCACTGCCTGCCCACCGAGGTGCCCTGGGGACAGGCGGCCCCCCCAGCCTCTCTTCAGGAGCAACACGGCAGCTCCTCGTTCCCTTGCAGGCCTTGGAGGACAGCTAGGACGCGACTGCTGTAGCCTGGGAAGAGGGTTTGGATGAGCAGCCTCTTTCCCTGGGGGAAACGGAGATAGATTCAGCCAGCAAAAAGACTCCAAGACCTCTTTGTAAACTCTTGTCTGCTGATATTTACTGTCTGCACTGGGAGTGTGGTTAAGCTTAAGAGTAACTCAAGCCCAGAGTAGCTGGCCACAGGCTAGGAAGGTCTAAACCCCAAACACCTTTGTGGCTTGACCTGTGGGGTGCCCTGGCCTCCCAGCTCCTTCTGCTTGCCTGGAACTCGCCGGAGCCTCCAGCGGGAGCCTCCCTCCAGCGGGAATCCTGCCTCTCTCCGCTCCCACCCATTCCAACTTCCATTCTTTAGGTGAGCCCCAGGGACGAGCCTTCCCTCATCAGAACCTGCAGGGCTTTGTTCTGTAAATAACCGTAATTATGTGGGTCCAGGACCGGCTCCGGCTGCAGCCGGACAGCCCTAAAGGCCAATCCCATGTATAAGCAAAAGAACTATAAGGCTCGAGCTGGAAAATAAAGGGCAGGGTGTTATTAACACAAGGAATGACACATGCTCCTGAACCAGGCCATTAAACTGCAGAAACTACTCACTTATGCAGTGTCCCTCACATGTCATTACTTCACCAGGTCAGAATGACAGACAATGTGCAACAAGGAGTCTCTTTTCCTCAGTTTATTCCTAAATCCTTCTCAGTAGCCAGGAAGCCCTTATGCTGTGAGTAGTTATTCTGAAAACAAGGACCAATCCATCCCACAGCAAAAGCAAGACACCTTTATTTTCTGTTCACAGAAACGCTCAGCAACTGCTTCCCTCCTTCCTTTAAGCTCTGGGCAAGGTCCAGACTGAGCTCTGATCTCTGGCCCCCCACCCAGTCCAGCTCAGTCTCCATCCTCACAGTTCCCTCACTTGTAGCGCACTCTCCCATGTCATTTTCTTCCCCTTCCAACAGGGAGTGGAATTTTCCTTGCCTCTTCCGGCCTACAGTTTGCAGACTGCATAAGAGACAGCTGGCATGTGCAAAATAAAACAACGCAGAGACTGTTTTCTCCAGTGAAGTGGTAAAGAAGGCCCTCACAACCCAAAAAAAGAGCTTTCCAATAAGCATTTCTGCTTCTATCAATATATAATATATGCTTGCTCATACATACAGGCTGACTATATATAAAGTATTGATATCAATGAGCAAAGACTGAGCAAACATGAGAACTATTATTTACTGTAAATCCTGCACACGCTTCCAGCTGTTTATTTCAGCACATCTTGCATGAATCACTATGGCAGGATTCCATAAGCACAATCCCAAACCCTCCCATTTGCCTTTTTACCATTTTGATGTAGACATCCATACACACTGCAACAGCAGGCCTGCCACAACGTGCCAATTACCAAAACACCAAATAAATTCCCACCTTCCAAGGTCTTCTGATCCCTTTGAAAAAATCAGGCATCCACATTGGAAGAACAACAGCTTCTCTTAATAATTTCTTGGCTTCTTCCAAATCTGCAATGTCATCCCTGTGCAAAGCAAACAAATTTATATAATATTACCGTACAAGAATACTTCTTCTGCTTTTAAATAGTGAAAAATAGAGAACCTTTTCCTTCAATAGCATTTTTAGCGTGTCAGTATAGGCCTCATGAGAGTACTTCAACCATCTTGTGACCTAAAATTGAATCCACTCATGAAAGGTAGGGAAAAAATGACTTTCAACTCAAGTTACCCTGAGCTGCTTAATTCAAATTTGTTTTGGACAATGTGGACATCCGAGTGGTATCTTTAAAGTTCTCTGGAACACTCCAGAGAACTGCATTTCAGCAGTGTTTGGAATGGTTCCATAATACGAGTTAGCAACAAAAGTCCAGTTGTAATTAAATTAATAAACAGGTAAAACCAAAAGACCTTGTTTTACTCCTGTATAGAAGACCATGATGGCTCCGTATTTTAAGAGTCAGGAGAAAGATCATTCCTCCCTTTCTCCACACCACCAAAACCAGTTCAATGGAAAAAATCCTCATACCAATGAATGCTTGGATTCCTTGACACAATGTCCCTTTCAAGAGCTTCGACCAAGTCTTTGTCGTAACCTGCTCCATCAAATTTTGGAATTTCCCCATCACCAGCACCTTCCTGTGTTATTTTCTTTCCCTAGAAGTGAAAGTTACACAGACTGGTAAGGACAGTTTTCCTTCAAGATATCCTTCCCCAGTAGCACATAGCAGTACTGTCTGGTGCAAGCACAGAAAGGTACCAAGTTTTTACACACAGCTCTGGCCTCTCTCAGCACCAGCAAAGGCAGCACTTTCATCCCTGCGCTCCATAAAGAGTCCCCAAACATCTCTGGTTGTTTCCACCACAGCAGCACAATTTTTTCTTCACAGATGCAGCTCACAGCGATAAAATCCCACCAGAGCTTATTAAACATCCTAGTGGGTTGCTTGGTTTGTTTTGAATTAGCAAACGAGGCTTTAGTGATGTTAAACCACTGTTGTGACTCCTGACACCCTTCTGAATGCAGAGGCAGCCCAGCACCGCAGGCCGTGTCACCGCTTCCCACAGCCCGGAATCCGGGCTGAGGTTGAGAGCATCCCAAGGGGATTTGGGTTTGAGCAGGAGGATGTCTGGTGTCTGCTACACCACTTGCCAGGGTTACACGAGTGGGACTCCATCATCACCATGGGAGAATATGGAAGCTGGTACATCCCATGGCCTTTGACGGAGGGAAACGAAGAAGGTTCTTTCCCACTGTTTGACATGAACAGGACCGAGTGAGTTGGGCCTGGACTGAGTGAGCTGGGCCTGTTCAGCTTGGAGAAGAGAAGGCTGAGAGGGGATCTGATTAACATGTATAAGTTCATGAAAGAAGAATGTAGGGAAGAAGGGGCCAAGCTCTTCTCAGTGGTGGCCAGTGACAGGACAAGGGGAAATGGGCATAAGTTGAAGCCCAGGCAGTTCCATCTCCATGTGAGAAGGAACTTCTTTCCTGTGAGGGTGCCAGAGCCCTGGAAGAGGCTGCCCAGGGAGGCTGTGGAGTCTCCTTCTCTGGGGATCTTCCAAACCCGCCTGGCTGCCACCCTGTGCCCCGTGCTCTGGGTGTGCCTGCTGGAGCAGGGGGTTGGACTGGATGATCTCTAGAGGTCCCTTCCAACCTTGAAGATTCTGTGAAGGGCTTCCATCCAGCACCTTCTCCTCTCTTCAACTGCAATCTCTTAATTTCCCTTCTCTTGCTGCCAATCCAGCCTCTCTCACAGTTAAAATACATAAATATGACCCGTTAGAAGTAAGGGATGCCCCAGAAGCCTTAAAGCAGGTCCCCAGTCACCCAAGCTGCTCTGAACTGCAGCAGTTTCTGCCTCACGCTGGGGCCCATTCAGCAACCAAGTCAAGTCCCACCTCGGTCCCAAACGGCCCACGGTTCCTAAGGGGCCGAAAGACCACTCCCTCTGAAGAATTACGGCTCGCTGTCCCGCGCCGACACTTCAGAGGGAAGGTCCTTTCCCTCCCGGTGCAGGTCGGGCCTGGCAAAGCGGCTGCTTGGGCTTAGCTGAGCCCTGGGCCTCGCAACACGGCTCCTAAGGACCCTCGGCAGCCAGTGAAGGAATCCCAGCTGGATGAACAAAAGCAGCCTGGGGACCGGAGGGCTGCGAGGCACCTGGAGACGCACACAAAAGCTCACAGCGCACAGAGGTGGATGCTGCACCCTTCCCAGGTGTCGTTACTCTACAAGGCCTGGGAGGAAATTGCTTATTTTCCTACGGTTTTTATTCCTTGCTTCCGAGTGAACTCGGAGTTGTGCAGTATTCCCAGGTCGGTTTTTGCAATGGAAATTAAGCTGAGAGTTCTGTTTAGACAAAACGCTGATGTCAAAAAATGTAATGGCCTGGTGCAAAAAAAGGAAACTGAGAGAAAAATCCCATAGAGTTTGGAAGATTTCAGAAGAGAGAAAATGGAATTCAAACGTAACTCATAAAAAGAAAGAAAAGATCATAACAAAATCATAGGTATTTGCTGCCTTTCCTTTTTGCCCATTTCTCTCCTATCCATCTGCAATGAATTGGTTTTCCTAACGGAATCATTTTTGTGCACTTAAAAAAAATTGTTTGGGTATTTTTTCCCCAGGATGAAACAGGGCTTTGAAAAGCAGTGACAGTCAGGGTGCATTTTGAACATTCAGGAGTTTCCACACATCATAAAATTAGTATCGGTGGTACCAGGTGGGTCCAACCTGCCATCCTCGGGCAGCAGGAGAGTGAGCAGAGCTACCCGGGAAAAGGCACCACCTGGATGGAGGCTGCTGGACTGAGCTACACAGCCTGGTGATGCACGAGCATGACGCAAACCCTCAGCTCTCTTTCTGCTATTGCCTCCCCAAAACAGCCTTAAATAAGGCACCTCTGATGGCTTCTCTCTATGCACATACAGCCAGAGGCATAAGGGGCAGCGAGAGGCTGCTCCTGCAGCCCGAGAGACTGCTCCTTGCCTGGAGAAGAGAAGGTTGATCTTATCAACCTGTACAAATACCTGAGGGGAGAATGTAGCGAGGAACTCTTCTCAGTGGTGGCCAGCGACAGAACAAGGAGGAATGGGTAAAAGTTGAAACCCAGGCAGTTCTATCTCCAGGTGAGGAAGAACTTCTTTCCTGTGAGGGTGCCAGAGCCCTGGAAGAGGCTGCCCAGGGAGGCTGTGGAGTCTCCTTCTCTGGAGATCTTCCAAACCTGCCTGGCTGCCACCCTGTGCCCCGTGCTCTGGGTGTCCCTGCTGGAGCAGGGGGTTGGACTGGGTGATCTCTAGAGGTCCCTTCCTATCTCAACCATCCTGTGATTCTGCCCCAGCCTCTTGGCATCACCTTTCATTAGGCTGACCAAGGTCCCACTTGAACACATTTAGAGATTTGCCGGGCTTTCCGTCAGGAGAGGGGCTGAGTCATACTACTCTACTGGAATAAATCCTCATTTCCCAAATGAATCTATTAATACATTAAATTTGTCCTTTGGTTTCAGCAGTCCCTCTGTCATGTGTTCACCACCCTGTTGTATCCATATCACGTATGTGCTCTGCCTTCATTCATCAAATTAAATAAGACTCTTGGAACACGACCTCTCCAGGTGCCTGTTCATGTTTTTTGTCCTTTCCCTTCTCCTACACAAACTCGTCTTGCTTGAGCATGGCTGTTTAAAGGCCCAGAAGAGACTCCCGCTGCCTCTCACCAGGTCTTGCTCCATAGCACCAGTATTTCTTTTCTCTCCTGCTTACACCTCAACAAATGCAACCCGGAGCTTCCTTTTCCTTCTCATGTCTGTATCATATTGGTGTCTTAAGAGTCAATCTGAAAGAGGTCAGTTATGCAGGATAATCCTGGCAGCTGCAGTGCCCAGGACTGGGTTGTGGAGACATCTCCCCTTCCTGCAGGGCCTGCCCACCCCACACACACAGACACACTAAGTGCCACTGTCAGACACACGGTCTGTCCTTTGCTGCCAAAGCCAAGGCGGCACCTGGTTGTTCTTCGCTTGAGCAGCTCCTCGTTCCCATCACCTTCAGGGAAAAGATGATGTGCCAAATGAAAGTTCAGCAGGATCCAACTTCTGCTGATCCATCCGCATCTTTCTCTTTCTCAGCTGCTGATCTCCCAACTTTCTTGTAGCAAAAATTCTTGTTACAGTCTCCAAATGCAAAACCTTCTGCTCTGCACGACTGAACATTATCCCATTTCCATTACTCAAGCACAGAGCCATCCAACTCTTTTTGCACAACAGTCTGATTGTCCTCTGTTGGGATAGAGCTTCCCAATTTGGTGCCATCAGCAAACTGAATTAGCACTTTCCTGTTATTTTGTGCTCAGGTCATCCATTTCGGTGTAAAACAGAAGTCAGTCTCTGGTCTTGTGGAATTCCAAAAATAATCTGCCAGTTTGATGCTTGTTCTTTAAGCACTCATGAACATTCCCTTACAGCCTAACTCCTTCCCTACCTCACACTTCTTCTATGCCACACAGTCTCTGGTTTAATTACTTCCCACGTGGCACCCTAATACATATTTTACTGAATCCACGAAGATGAGTTTGATCATATTTCTTTTTCCAAGACATTCACAAGAACCCTAAAGAAAAGTGTTAATTCAAACAATACTTGTGTTTAAGAAACCGTATTTGCTTTTTTCCTTTTCCTGGTAAGTTCAAAGTCTTTCACATTGATTCCATTCTAAATTTGTTCTAAGATTTTGCATGCCATTTAGACCATCCTCTGAACACAGGCTCTCCCAATGCAATTTGCCATTGACATGGAGCAATGGTAGAGGCTGGCTGAACAGTCTTTTACTATTTAATATCTTTTGTAATATGTACCTTCCTCATCCATTGAGGATTTAAAATAATCTAAAGAACACTCCTAAAAAACTCTAGTTCTTAGTAGGTTATTTATTATTATTTCCAAAAGACACATGTGTAATATTCATACTACCTCTTTCACCGTTCAACAGGGGCAAAAATTATCCTTTGGAAGACTTACATGAGAACTAGGAAGAGAGCACATGAAAGCAAGCCTTTAGAAGGAAGAACAGGTAAATACGAGGACTTAGCAGATAAATGCCATCCACGATGGTTTCTATTCAAGATACAGCACTACAAAAGGAGATTTTAATGCTCCTTTAAATGCCATGCTTTACTGCAGAGTCAGGACAAAACTTATCCCTAGATGATTATGGTTTGAATGAAAAGATCACGTGGTTATGGAAGGAGGAAAGGTGAAAGAAGGCTTCACACTCACATAAGGAAGCAAAATATTTCTAAAATACAAATACTATAGCCATATTTATCTTGAAAAATACCACAAATACATATGTATTTTGTACCAGTAAAGGACACAAGCTGCTACACTGCAATAGGTATGTTACCTTACAAGTCATCCTAGCCACGCATGCAAACCTAAAAACTATATAGGAAAAAAAACCAAACCAAAACAAAATCCACACCAGAACATTTTGTATTGAAAATAGATAGGCAGCCAGTTAGTATCAAGCATCAACAGTTTTCCCTGTTACTTTCAGGTGAGCACAAAGAGCTGCTGAACCTGTGATCTGACATACTGGGCTACAACGGTAAACGTCTCCTAGAAGTTCCAGAAACTGAAAAATGTCAACACTTGCAAAGTAAGAAAGGATAAAACCTGAGAGGGAAACTAAACCTATTCTCATGCCTGTATGAAGTGCAGAAAGTTGCAGCAACCGCTTTGGCTTCCCATCCTTCCCTATTTCTTCTTTCACTTCCTACCTCTGGCTATTTCTTCTTTCATTCAAAACTATCTTCAAGGGAAGATCATAGATTTCTTATCAAAACCGTTATACAACACATGAGGATTTGTAATCTGGCATGCGTTTTGCATACATACCAGACAAAGAAAGTGAAATAACTGCCAAGGAGCTAGACGAAGCAAAAGGGGGGTTTCATGAAGAGCAGACACTGGTAGATATTTTCCTTCTGCCACCTAGTGACGGATTTATGCAGATAAGGGGAGCATTTAAAATGCACCACATTAAATGAAGCACCTTCATGACACTTCCTCTGTCTGCAAACAGTGGTGTTACTAATCGCTTTATTCTCAGAGACAAATATTGTACAAGTTATGATGCTGTAGACCCGTTACAGTAAAGCCCTATAATGCTCAGAACCAGAGAGCTCTGAGAGCCAAGTTCATCCTCATTAGAGGGAAGACTTTGGAGGCTGCCTTACACGAACACATCTGGTGAATTAAACCTGTTCCCCACGTAACTAACAGAACTGTAAATTATTTCACAGCTCTTCACAAGGTTTTTTATATATATATATATATATATATAGCTTGCAGGATGAACGCTTGTTATTTGAAAACTCATTGATCTAAAGCAGAGATTTCTAGAATGAGTAAACTTGACCTGCGCAGTCACTCAGTGGCACTGCTAAATAAGTGCCTGAACTAGTCTAATTGTGATAATGAGGGTTATTATTCCTTAATATATATATTTTTTTTTCTGGATAGAAAAAAAAAATTATCTTGGGGGAAGAAAGAAGTTTATCTTTGAGTTCTTCCTGCACTGTAAAAAGACAAGCTGTAACATAGAGGCTCTGACCAAAGATATCTGAAGGAAAACTGGCCCAAGTATTTTGGCATTCATCTATCAAGATCTGTATAATACTGTCGATCCAAAAGGAAGGGGCTTCTTATATCTTTGTCAGGAAATAGAGCTGCTTCAGTACGTTATGGATTTGTAACATTGCTACCACAGACTACTTGGCTTCCTGGCACTGGCTCCATTGTCAAATTTAAAAATGATTCTCAGAAATTAAAACTTACGTACAAAGACATCAACATTTTTCAGTCACAATGCAGTCTTCCCTAAATACTGTTCTTGATACCACTACTTGATAGTGGCTGGTAGAACCTCCTTTTCTTTCACCTCAGCACTGCTTCTCTTTCACATATCTCTAAGGATAAGAATTTCCAACTTAGTCCAATTCACATCATTGATTTCTACAGCACCTTTCCAAAAAGATCTTCCTAAGTATTATTATAAATACAAATATCTTCTGTAGAGAAAGAAAAAAATAAAGTTGCTAAGAGTTTAGGTTCACTACACCTATATTACATAATTTTCAAATATATAATTTAAAGTAATTTAGTACACACTCACACAATATTACAGAGCTTACATAACTGTCCTAAAACTTTTAAGCACACCTGATTTTTACTGTGGCATTAGACAAGCAAGAGCACAGTGGAATTCTGTTCATAATGATTAAACCAAAGGAGGGCAATGATCTCGGTTATGTATGTTTTACATGGAAATCTTTACAAGAGACCTGAATTAAAAAGATAAAGGAGGGAAGTGTAGAAGAAGTTTTACGCTTTTTTTAAACTGACATATTAGATTCAAGCCCAGGACCTAGTTGAGACAAAAGAAATACCCAGCAGCAAGCTACTATGGTTTTGTAACAACAACATCTTCTCCAATGAAGGGAAAGCAAACATCTCAGCCCTTGTGCTTGACCTGCTGTCATTACAGCTACATCTCCTCATACAATGTGCTTTGTCCATGACGTTAGAGGCATGCAGCAAGTTTTCTTCCACAGGACTCTTGTTATACTGTTGTATTGAGTAACTAAAAATAAGAATGTTTTCCTTTGCCACCAGCTTTTTTAGCTCCTTCCCCCCGCCCACAGGCCCCCTTCTTACCTTGTCATCTCTCCCTCTAGCTCTAGATTCCCTTTCCCGGCTGCTTGCGGACTTGTCGCTTCGCGGCGCCGGGTGCGCTCGGCCCGCGGGCCCGCGGGGCTGCAGCCCTGGGGACTCCTTCCTCAAAGGTTTCACCTCTCGGTTGGGACGTTTTATCTGAGGTGGAGCCCTGGCAACAAGAAACCACAGCGAACACATGCTGAAAACCTACAGCGTAACAAAGAGTAGCTTTAGGAAGGAAGAACTGGTACTGCGTTAACTTCCTTGGTGAATTATTGCCAAAGCTAATGAGTCCCTGAGTCTTAACTCCCTAAAACTGTGAATCCGGCAACATTTTTGCTTCTGCCAGACACCCAAAAGAGAAATAAACAAAAATTACAAAGGAAAAAGGTAAAAATAGTTCAGCAGATAAAAATAAATAAATAAATAAATCCCCATTACCTTTATATAAGTACTCCCAAACAATCCTATAAAAACATGCATGTAATAAAAAAGGCTCAGTTCAGGTCAGTTAATTTAGGTAAAATCTTCAAAATAATTCCCTAGATTATAAAAATATTTTAAGTTACATTCACGTGCACAAGTTCTATAGAAAAAAAAGACATTCCTGACAAGAAGCTGGTTAGTAGCCTTGGCAGGCCCCAACACGGGAAGGGTAAAGAGGGAAAAGAAAGTCATCCTATTTCTGATTTCACTGCCCTTTGTGAAAATTTCAAAACATAAAAATTGCCTAGACAAAGACAGACAAAGCCAAACTGCAACTATCTATCCTTAAGACAACTTGCTACTGGCCTGAGGATGCAGAATTTATTTGTAAGATGAGGCCTCACAATCTTCTTCTCTAGAGATGGAACCTCAAATACAGACCCAAAAAACATGGATGGGATGTCATTCAACATCCAGTGTTCCCTGGTCAATCCTCTACTGATTCTGGGTCTCAGCAATTAAAAATTTGCTAATCACAAAAAAAAACATATCCTGGAATACGACTTACTCGCAGTCCTGAATACAGGTGTTCTATTTTGCTTTATGTATTATATTCATTAAACATGACAGCATAGAACAGCTGCTAATTTTCCTTACCTATCTTCACTAGATTTAAATTTGTGTTGAGAATGGGAATGATTAATTGGGCCCTTATCTCTAAGAAAGATACATGAATGAACACACCGTGCGTTTCACATAGTGTTAAAGTAAAAATTTTGATAATCATTTATATCGCTCAGAAAAGTAATGAAGTGAACAACATTACTATTATTTTATACTTACACCTTTAATATTTTTTGACAAGAGAAGACCGGTCTTTTTGATAGTCTCGGGCACGTGAATTTACCATTAATCTTGGCATTTCTGATAACCAAAAAGATCTCATTTCCTTTTCTTTTCTTACTTACATGAATACACACACACTGTTTTTTAAAAAATTATTATAAAGTTAGAAGAATATTGACATGATAAACTTTGTTCTTGTTTTTTTATATTTGACCTCCTTCTTCCAACAACCAGTGTCCAACTCCATTAGGGTGAATATTAGCATTTCACAAATGACTGAATGATTATAAACGAAGATCACATTTTCAGCAGCTGGGGAGCAATTTCTAACTTCTGTGTCCACCAAGGTTTTTCAGTTCCAACTCCCTGCTGGGTTCCCAGCCATCAATGAATTCAACCGGTTAAATAAACTGAAATAAAATGTTTTCTGTCTGCACATGACAAAGGCTACAGTCTATAAAGCTCTTTGCTGAACCAGAAGCTCTTTTAGTTCTTCGGTAGACCCTGGTTCCTGAAACTTGTCTAACCATTCCTGCCAGGAAAAAGGATGGACTTTCTTCAGAACTCCAGCAATGAATCCGAACTGTAATTTAATTAATTGCTTCCAATTAATTATATTTATACCTTACTGCAAATGGTTATGGAATAAATGAAATGTGATTTTCATATTACAGATACATTCATAATTGAGAATGAGTTTCTGGCAACCCAATTCCATTCCATCCACCCTGCTCGAGCCTCTCGTTACCTGTGTTCAGCTGGAACAGGAGGGGGCCAAACAGCAGGATCTCGGAAAGGCTCATCTTGACAGGACACAGGGATATCGGCAGGTCTCTCCATTTTAAAACTCTCTAAGGTGCTGACAATGCTCTTAACTTGCTCATACTCTTCAACTAGTTCTTGTCGGACCTTCAGAAACACGCACATTTTTTAAAAACGGTTAAAAATTAAACTTTTTTTCCATTTTGTTTTGCCACAGAAAGTAGTTCAAAACACTTCCCTCAGAAGCAGGGAGGCCCGAGCCCCTCCGTTCACAAGGCCCAGACCTGTCGGATCAACAGTAGGTTCTCAATGACAGCAAAAACAATCAAATCCATCAGGTCCATCTTCCTCTTCACGAACATCTGATTCCTGTTCACAGCAGCTGATTTTCTCGGTGTTTCCACCAGTTGCCACTAGTCAGGGAATTAGAATATTTTCCAGATTATTTACCTAATGAGAATCATTTTGGATCAGCAGACCAACAGCATGATCCAGGTCCCAGTGAATCAAAGACCTTTTCTTTAGGCCACTCATTTCAGTTTTTCCACACCCTTGAAACCTAGGAACTTGTTATCCACTTGGATAACATTTTCATAATTTCTAAGTCATATGGGTTGCTGTAAGCTCAGATTTCTCTGCTCAGTGAGGTCTTGGTGCCCACCAGCAGCCAAAAAATGCACTGTACTTCCTTGCTCACAACTAACAAGTTTTCAGAGCATTAAAGACACCTGGAATTCACAAAGTGAACCTACAGTGCATTTTACCAGTTCTCCACCTATCATTGAGTGATGTTTTCCATTCTGTGAGACCAGTTTCCACACGGGACCCATTCCAGATACTCAAAATGAGTTCTGTGGCCCCCCACTTTCGGTAGGCCAGATTCAAGACAGAAAGAATTCAGACATAAGCGTCTGCTGGTTCATATAAGAATGAACAAATAAATGGACACGGTTCAGGAATGAGCATCATCTCTTGCTGGAAGCTACAGTTCTCCTAAAGTACTGCCAGGTGCATCCTACAGCAGCGTACGCTCTGTGTAATATTTTCCAGGAATTTCCCCTTCAAGGACAAAATAGGAGATTTCAGAAGCACAGAGATTCTCTTGAATTAAAGTTTAAAAAAAAAAAATGTATATGACTATGCTCTGCAAGACACCGGTGAAAAAAGGGGCAAAAGGGAAGGGTTAATCCCTGAGGTCCCACACAGCTCTTGGATGCACTTACATCCCTCCAGCAGTAAGTGCACAAAAGCAGGCCAAGGCACAGGAAGTGCTTCATCCTTTCCCAAGACAAAGCAGCCCTCGTGCTGCCGCTTCCTTCCAGGGACACGGACACCCAGCTCGGGCAGGACTGTCCTAGGAGGGACGACCAACACTTCACACGCTCCTCCTGCTTTTCCCCTCGGCTTTCTCCTCACAGCGCCAGCAGACGCATCCCCCAGCGCAAGAGCCTCCCGCTGAGTCACCAGCGTGAGCGACTGCTAACTCGGTTCCCTCCAACCAACACACATCCCTCGTGTCCAAAAATAACAGCAGCCAAACAGCTGCTGGGACACGGGGAGAGTGACACGGCACAAACCCCCGCGAGGGGCGGCCGCTTCCTACGCCGGCAACACGGGCAGGTTCCTCCTACCAACACGGGCAGGTTCCTCCTACCAACGCTCATGCGGACGAGTCAGCAGGGAACGGCCTGCCACGGAGGTCTGGGACGCTGACGTGGAGGCCTCTGAATCAGAAGGGAGGACGACGTCTCAAAATGGAAGCAGAGCGAGTCTGGGATGCTTTGGAAGCTGAAAACAAACTAACTGCTGCTGCTCATTTCTTTTAAAAAGCCTGAGCAGGCCCACTCTCAAATATACAACCTGCTGCCCCATTACACCCTCTCCTCGGGTGTAACAGCCTCCACGTGGCTCCTGCTCAGGGTCTGGAGACCCCAAAGAAAAGCTTTAGGTTACTCACATCTGAACAGCTTTGGGAACTGGCATGGGCCGAGTTAACAGCTCGCCACTGCCAGACAGGGAGGTCTCTCCCCATTTTTTTCTGCCCAACCACCCACTACTGCTGCTCTTCTATATTCAACTCCGGCACTGATCTCAATACAGGAACCCAATTCAGCTTGGTAAAATGGAAGGAAACAAACCTGGGGGAACAAAAAGAAAGCTAAAGGCCAGTACTGCTGGGCTAGCAAGCTGAATTGGTTGGTCAGCCTGTGCTCAGATGGCTACCAGGAATGGGCACAGAGCAGGCAGAGAAGCTGGTGCAGCTGGGGGAGGACAAGGCAAGGCCCTCTCACCACGTCACCTCCTCAGCACAAGCAGCTGCTTCCCATTGATATTCCAGCCCTAGGGATTTACGGAATGACCAAGCAGAGACACATCCCAACACAGGTGCATAGGACACTGTGAGCAAGAGATGGGTCCCCTGATACTCAGTGTAGCTGCAAAAACACTTCACAGCCTGAGCTGTGCTTAAAAATAGGAAAAAAAGCAAGAGGTCCAGGGCACCTAATCACCTGCTCCAGTGACTGCAGTCGAAAGGGCGCCTGGCTGGCCGCTCCGAGCGGTGCCGAGCTCCCACCTTTCTGTGGGATTCACCTTTTATTGTTGCTAAGTAAACAAAAAAAAAATAAAAAAGAGATGAGCTCCTCACACTTTGAATCTCTCCAGACCATCCTGCATTTATGTGGCTGAATGCATCCCAGAGCACACTAGAGAAGAGTGTATATGTATATTTTATATGTATATATGTATTTTAATGAGCTCAGAGGCATAAGAGTGGGGACAGGAAGAGGCTTAGTCTCAGCCACCCAAAAGATAGCAGGGAACCCTCAGGATGCAAAACAAGTACCTGGACCTCAGTAGCTTGTCACAGATCTCCCCAAGCTGAGTTCATCACCACCAAATCACAGTGAACTCCTACAGGGTTGGGAGCTCTTGTGTTGTCACACTGTCACTTTGGAGGGCTCTGCACTGCCCTTCAGAACACATCTTTTTCCTGTTTGACCTTCTGCTCCACTCTGCTAACACAGTCCCTCTCCCCAAGTCACTGCTGGTTTTGAAGCCCTGGAGCAACTTTGCTCCAGGTGGAACTGAACTTAGGAGCCTCTTGTGGAGGAGCAGCTGATGTACATCCACATTCCCCTTCCTCCGAACTGTCCTCTCAGCATCAAGCACAAGGACTCCTTAATAACAGGGTGCAAAGTTGCACAACAGAACCTGTCTGGTCATGCTACGTGACACACAAGCCACTGAACATCATTCTGTCCAGACCAACCTGTGGAAATCTGCAAGCAATGACACCAAAGCAAAGAGGGGCAGACTAAGGGTATTTGGGAGTCTGATCCAAAATCCTAGTGCTTCTGGCTTATCTGTGCCCTGCGTCACTCAGTACACGGCTGGTAAAGAAAATCCTGTGTAATACAGAGAGGGCAAGAAGACAGGTTATTCAGCGTAAAGTACCATTCAGGGTGCAGCACTCACAGTACAGATGTGACCATATAGGAAGACCAGCAGTTCACAAAACAGGTAAGAATAATTTTGTTAGAGAGATATGGCTATAACATTCTTTGAGGTATATTATTTCTAGGAATGTGCTCATTTTATGGTAGAACTTGACCACCACTTCACAACTTGAAATTAATACTTGACCACTTCAGGAATACTATAACATATACCCTGCTTATGTATATAAATAAAAGGCACAAATGTATATAAAAGAATGCTTTGTGCTGTGGAATTCCCTCAGTTTAATTCTTAGGAATCCTGTGGGGGCTCACGGAAAAGGATAGATTGCAAATGTACACACAGATGACCTAATTTGAAGAAAAAATAGTTTAAATAACAAACTTTGCTGCTCTCTGAGCACCTACCTGTGCACACATGTGGTCAGCTCCTAACAGTAACTGGAAAGGGCTCTACCCAGGCAGCATCTGCTAGAAATGCCAGCTTTCCATGCCGGGAGGGTATTGCTCAGGTTAGCACCAGTAATTGCCATGATCCATTTTGACAGATCTCAGCTGCCACCACCACGCTGGGAGGTTTCAGAACCAACATGAGAGGAGCATCAGAGTCGCTGATCGCCTCACTGCTGACCTTCCTTGAGGCAAGTTCTCTAAACTGACACCACCAGGACCCGTTCTGCTTTTCCCTAGAAGGGGAATCTCCTGAGGAGGAGCAGGATGTGCAATCCTCTGTAAAGGAACTTCCCTGAGGAATTACCCTGGAGCTAAGCCCCTTTTTACCTGGGGTTTGTAACCAACGCCCAGCATACGCTTCCATGCCTCAGGGGCTTCTCTGAGGCAGTTCAAGCAACACACAAAGTTATGAGACGTAAGGAACTAACCTTCACAAGACAAGAGCTGCCAGAAGTTTAATGGAAGAATTCAAGTCATCAGAGAGAACACGAAACACTAAAAGTGAAGGCAGGGCAGTGATGCAGCTGCAGAACAAAAAAAGCTCATCCTCCAACTCAACTACAAGTTTAGCAGGAGCTCAGGTGATGCACAGACCATGAACTTTTTTTATTTTTTATTTTTTAAATTGTCATCATGGCTGGGGTGGGGGAAACCTGAACATAAATTCTTTACAGTGAGTATCTCCTATACAATATTCAGCATATTACATCACCAAGAAAGCTAGGCACTATAACAGCTGTTTATGCACACATATGCTTTGCAGGCAAGCTCTTAATATGCAGACAGACACTTAAATAGCTAGGATAAAGGCCTGTGCATAATATTATCACTAGAAAATGATGGATAGCAGTGATTTAGCCACCATTACACAAAATACTCTAGGTTAATGTCAGATGTTTCAAGTACCAAAACATAACCAAAGCACCTGCTGCAGTAAAAAGAAAAAAGTGTTTCTGTTCAAGTAACATTATTTAAACAGATTGATATTATGAAAAACATCTTGAAGTCATCTCTTCAGCTACAAAAGTGTCAGCAAAATTAAATCTTTTATAGGAGCTATGTGCGTCTTTCACAAATATTTACACAAAATGAGTTCTTTATTCTGAAAGGCACCTTTATAGGTTTATCACGCAAGGAGATGGAACACATTTTGTGTAACAAAAAGATGGGATGACAAAAGGAAAACTTAAGTATCGAATGTGCTAATAAGAGCCCTTACATTTCACACCTGTAAATTAGCTCACTGATTTCAACCCTTTCTGTTGGCAGAATCAGGCACGTGTTCAGATGTTTGCAGATCCAAGGTGAGAGTTAATAGCTCAGATTGCAGAAACCTGATCCAAATTTGCATCATATCATTGTAGCTGACTGCTACTCAGACAAGCATTAGTGATGCTAACTCATCTATGCACATCCTAGAGTGCTGCGTGTTAGAGGGATAAAACAGCAAAGGGAAGTCATCAGCAGAACAGTTTTTCCAAAGTGGTCAGTCACACACAATTAGATCAGTGATTAGCCAGACATACTTGGTGAAAACAAGAAAATGGATTCAATTGGAACAAAAGAACTCCTTTTAAATATGCCATAGGATATACTGGCTGAAAACTACCAACTATATACCATGAACACAATGTTCTAAACTTAGAAATATATATTATCTACATCTTATAGTTTGGGAAACGCAGTGTATGCTTCAAATAACAGAACATACTATTAACGGGAAGCTTATTTCACTGTACCTGTTGCCATTTGCCCTTAATTGCAGGATCCCGGATGGACTGACAATGTCTCTGGATCTGCTGGATGACACCTTGGTAATACACCATCGAAGAGTCATAATTCCCAAGGAGGGCATATTCTCTTCCTTTTTTGGCATTATCACAAATCTCTGCTAAATTCATCTTCCCTCAGAAATCTAAAAGAAAAAACACAATCATCAGAAAATAAGACCTTTTACAATGGTATTTTACATGACACTTTGATTTTTCTCTTTCTCTCATAGCTGAATTATGTCCCTTTTTTGCCCCTTTATGAACCATTTAGCTCTGGAGGAATCTCTCTTTACTAGCCTAAGGTCATAAATCAGAACTGCTTTATCAGTGATAAAAGGAAAAATCAACTTCCTCACTGTCTTTGGCCCCAGTCCTGTTAAATTAACGCAAGAAAATTAAATGCCCTGTGCACACTGAACCTTGGTGACTTCAAGGACCCAACCAGCCAAGCTTTAACGTGCAGAACATCACAGTATATTAGCAGTCAGTAACCCATGAATCACAAACCACATGAGGCATTAAATTGCTTATTATACAGTTGTATTACATACGTTCCTCCATGCTCCAAGCACCATTAGGGCAGTCTCCACTAAACACTTGGATGAGTCCTCATCCTAAGGAGATGACAATGCAGTTGAACAACAGCTCAACTACAGACAAACTTGAGAACTTTGTTCTGTTTAAATATCATTCTTTCAAACTATTCCGGCATCCACGCTCTTACTGGGATTTTTTTCATGAAATTTAACATGTCATTCTGGGATTTATAGCAGTTAGTGACCTAAATTTAGGATTTCTTAAAACAGAGATTCCAAAAACTTATTTTTCCCTTAGTCCCCCAAACAACACAAGATTGGCAGGTTTCACTAATACATTTTCATAAAAGCAGCAAATCACAGTAGGACTAAAGCAAATCCACAGAGTCCAACTTTCCCCAGGAACCATCCAATAACAAAACCACCCACATTGTACAGCTAGATTTGTATTTAAGGTTCAAGATCTATGGACTGCCTGCCTGTTTTATAAAACAGATCAAGATGATATTAAGACCAAGATGATATTAAAGAGGATGTCCCTTGTGCTTAGCAAAATTCAAACAGGGAAATACCGGGTTAAATATACATCCACGTGCCCTTCATTCTGCCTCCCGAATGATGCCTATAGCAGCTACATGGTCTGCCCCTGAACGTGCCAAGCAGATGATCCCTGTTTCTGCACACAGCCTGTACCAGGTGGGCCCTGGAGCCCGCTTGTCCTCATTCCTGCAGGGCACAGTCCTCACCCTAGGCCTCATATTTCAGCTTTCCAATGACTCCCATCAGCTGGGAGTATGGTTTTCCCCATACAAAGAGAAAATAAACAAACAAATAAATAAATGCAACATATCTAAAGAGCTGCTACATTTAATTCCCAGAAATCCAGAATATTAAAGGAGAAGGTACTTATTTTAGCAGTCTCTCTTCTCTGCTTATTACTGGAAGCTCCTGCCCTCCTGGCCTGTGTTCAGCTCCCTTTTACCTTTGGAGGACTGAAACTTCCATCCACTTTCTCTCAGTCCCTTAAAGCCTCCATAAAGGGTGCTCTGCTCCCTGTAGGGAACAACCTCCCTGTCCCCAGGGAAAGCCAGGCCAACCTGGTCCCAATCAGGAACACAAGGTGCAGAAGACACACAAATACATGCTTAATTTAGAAGAACTTTAGTGGAGAGAGATGGGAATCACAGAGAGGTTGAAGTTGAAAGGGATCTCTACAGATTTTCTAGTCCAAGGATACCTAGAGCACGGGGCACAGGGTGGCAGCCAGGTGGGTTTGGAAGATCCCCAGAGAAGGAGACTCCACAGCCTCCCTGGGCAGCCTGTTCCAGGGCTCTGGCACCCTCACAGGGAAGAAGTTCCTCCTCACCTGGAGATGGAACTGCCTGGGTTTCAGCTTATACCCATTGCCCTCTGTCCTGTCACTGGCCACCACTGCAAAGAGTTTGGTCCTGTCCTCTTTACATTCTCCCCTCAGGTATTTATAGATATTGATCAGATCCCCTCTCAGTCTTCTCTTCTCTAGGCTACACAGGCCCAGCTCACTCAGTCCACTCATCTAACCCTACTTCTTGAGCTTCCCTATGAGAATGTTATGGGAAGACAGTGCTGAAATCCTTGCTGAAGTCAAGGCAGACAACATCCACGTTTCTCCTCTCATCCATCCATCCATCCATCCATCCATCCATCCATCCATCCATCTCATTGCACAAGTGCCAGGAACATCCTAGTGCCAGGAACATGAGGTGCCAAGGACGCACAAACACATGCCTAATTTGGAAGATCTTTACTGGAAATAGCTGAGAAGCAGGAGAGGCAGGAAAAACTACATGTATTTTAAAATGAGGAGAGAAACCAAACACGTTTCTGTCCTCATCTTCTGGGTTTCAGACCTCATCTTGGTCACTTGGGAGTTCAGGCAAGAGCTTGAAGCCTGGTCCATCACACTAGGGATCTTCTAGGGATAATTACTAGGGATAATTACAGGCACTTGGAGCACCTGGGAAACTTGGTGGAGGTCAATCAATGTGCCTGGTGAGTGATAGATACCTCCAGAGCCGGCAAGAGCGGCCTGTCTGGATCTTCCTCTTGGATCTAGGCCCTTCAGTTCTACTCAGGATCTACTCTAGACACCAAAACAGGCGAGTAGGTGTGAAAAGGTGAATATGACCTATATACCCGAGATGTTTGAACCAGCAAGTGCAGACTTCAGTTCTAAATCAGTGCTCTCCCTGACATCCAAGCAATTCCTTGAGGTCCTGTTACAGAAAGAGCTGCTATTTAATGACTAGAGATGGTTTAAATGAATTACAAATCGTTTATGGACATCAGGCAACACTGATTCAGAACAGCCCACTTCTAAAGGCAGTCAAAACAAGCTTGTCCAAAATTAAAGAAAACCTGAAGCTATTTTTAGAAGATTATTTTCCTTTGTCTTCTGGACACCCCACTCTTCAACAGAGGTTGGGTGTGACTAAAGCTTAGTTTACATTTCCTTCTTGTTTTTTATTTTTTTAAATGTGTACTCCTTATTTGATCTACAGTAATAATATAGTTTGTGCAACATTACATAGAGAATGTCTGTATATAGTTCTGTATTAGATACTATAGAAATATGAAAGTCATAAATAAATACATATTTTCTCCCCCCTCTCTGTTTTTTTCCTGCCATATCAGAGTCACATCCTTTAAGCAAACACAGAGCCAGGGACAACTGCGATCAGGTATATTTAGAACAACTTACACAATCCCTGTGACACCAGCTTTTCAGCTAATCATCGCGGGTTGCTCTCCTGCACTGGACCGGAACAGCCCCACCGCGTGTCAGGACACGCTCCGAGATTCCCGAGCTCACGGATCACTGGCACCAAGAGGCATTACGGACATTCATGTCAGTAGCTGCCACACACGGGCTCTGAAGCCCACTTGTTAAAAGCCCTGTCTTGGCGAGGCTCAGAGGTCACAGGGGATATTGCCTGCTATTCTTTGGAGCATAAGCTGAGCTGATCCCTATCTGGGGTCAGAGGAAAAATTCTTTCTCCCAGAAATGCAGCATAATTGAACGAGATCCAAGGACTTTGGATCTCAAAAAATAACACACAAATGCACACTTGAAAACGCTGAACATGGACAAACACAGATAAATATATCCACAAGCACTCCCACACTGCATGGATGATGCTCACCAAAACAAGCAGTTACTTTATCTTCCATTATCTGCATTACTCTATAGTCATACCAATCCTATTTACTGCATAGGATAGGCATACTGATACGCATTTACTGCATTTTTTTAACAAATTAGTTATTAATTCCCTCACTGATGAGGTTATGATGTATTTAGGTTTCCCTGGACATGTGTCTTTCTCTGACCAACATTTTCCCCACACAGACCACAAATTTTCCACAGCTCCCTGAGGTTTCTAGACATATGGTCTCACATTGAGCAGCTGTGCAGCGTTGCTGACTGGACAGCTGAACATCTGCAAAGGCCCAGACAGACACGGACACAGTTTCTTGTTTTCTGCAAATCAGACACACAGCACAACATGGGGCATCCTGAAATTCAGTGCAAAAGACCTAACTTCACAAGACAGAATTCCATAGGACAGGGCACCATCTTCCTGGAAGCCAATGCCAAAGCACTCCCTGGTTTTCCCTCTTGCAGACTGGAGCCAGGATGGCCCTTGGACACTGCACAGCCCCAGTGTGTGTGACTTTCCACACAGAATTGAACTGGCCATCTGTGGAAAAGCAGTAGGTGACCAAGACTGATACAACCTGCGCCTGAGGGCTAGGGTTGAGCAGGAAGGTGGCATTTCCTTAATAACACATTGACTGCAGCAAGCGAAAGACATGGTTTTTGTGGTTAGGAGCTATTCAGGGATTCCTGTTTCCAAAGGGACTGGTAATCTCTGGATTTTTATGCCTGATTACAGATCACTCGTCTTCCCTTCATGTGCACCAACCCACTAGTCACGTATCAGGGCTCTGCTTCCAGGAAGCTCCACACCAAGACACACCTTGAAGCTCTTAGGAAACCCTAACGCTGGAGAGCGAGTCCTGGCCAGTGCCTGAAAGAGGGAAACGGAGCAAACTCCAGAGCTCGACCTCTGAGGATCCCAATTCCCTGCTCATGCACCCCAGGTTGGCCCAAGCAGCCCACAGCCCCAGCACTGCTGTATTCCCCACAGCAGACACAGCAGTGGGAGCAAAAAAGGGAATCACAGTGTCACTTCATTCCCATTTTTGGTATTTATCCTCTTTTCACGTGTACCCATTTCCATGAACAAGTCTAAGCAACCACCTGGCACTCATTCCTTTCCCAAATTCCTCATGCTCCTTAGGAGCTTTTCCTTCCTCTTAAACTGCCTTTCCAAGTTTTAGGCCGTATTGTTTCTGTCAGTCAATTTTGATCAGTTTTGAGTATCTTTCTCTCCCTTATGTTTTCCTTAATATGGTACAACAATCATATCTCCCATTTTCCCTTGAAAGCTAACAGTTCTTGAAAGAGACACACACAACAAGTGACAACAGAACCTTACCTGGAGAACTATGAACTGTAGCCCTGACTGGACATTATTAGAGAAAAAAAAACTATTGGCTTTTCTTCCATCACATGTGATTCCTACTAGATTCCTGTAGAAATGTTCATATCCTAAAGTCTATATAGTTATACCAGATTTCTTCTTCACATGATCATTTTTCTAACTGAGTTCTTTAATAATATGTTATCCAAATATATATTTATTCAAAAGTGCATAAATCTTGCCTGTTTTAATAGAAATACTGTCCCTTTCCTTTTGGGCTTGGCCAGCCTTCATTTCTAACAGGGACTGCCCCCGTTCCAGGGCTATCTCTGATGCTGCTGACCGTTATCAGGCGTCAAGTTTGCAGCACACAGGCAGCACTAACTGATCACTGCAAGGTAAAGCACAAACTAGCAAAGCACTTGCCAAGCTCCACAGCAAAATACAGTTTTCCCTATTACTTTTGCTTCCCTTAAACTCATAGCTGTTCTTCCATAGGCTTCTGTGGTGATCCCACCACAGACTACCACTCTCAGGATCACAACTCCTTAACACCAGTTAAAACACGCAGGTTTTAACATGCGATCCAGTTCCACCAGGAGTGGATTTAGGCTTCATGGAGCTGCTTTCTTCAACCCCAGGCCAAAAACACCAGGGCTGTGGGGGGGTTTTCTTTCCTTTGCTGTGCGCATGAGCAGCAGCCAGGCGGGAAAGGGCTCCATGTGCCCGCGGCGTCACCCGCCAGGATCCGGCACTGCCAGGATCCAGCACGCTGGGATTGCCTTGCTTACCCCACCGCTTTCCGCGGGATTGGCTGGTGCTGAAACTCAACCTGTTTTGAAATACTAGCCCTGGAGTTAATGGGGGAATAAGCAGGAAGGAGAAGGAGTGAGTCTGCCGGCCTCGGCGGGAGCGCAGGCTCCCGAGCGCAGAGGGAAGAGTTGGCAGTGGGCAGAACAGAAGGGAAGAAAGCAGCTGAATCCTCTTTAGGACTACGAATGTCTGGGGTTTTTTGATTTTTTGTTTTGGATTAATATTGTACTTATCAGAGATGTTATAAAAAATAGTGTGTATATAAAAAATGTATATTACACACCCTCACATGTGTAATATATATATATACACATACATACACACACACATATATGTTAAATATATGAAAAAATAACTGCTAAGGCTACAGGTACCAAATCTTTGGATTTCACAGGTTATCCCCAAAAGAATCCCTACTTTGGGAATCAGTTACAGTGCAAAGCACAGACAGGGGCCTATCCTTATTAATCTTCTGCTTACTTTCCTAGCTGTCTGCAGCTGTGCCTAGCTCAGGAGGGGCCTCGTCCCTCCAGGAGCAGCTCCAAAGCTCCAGTCTGCGGAGCCAGAGCTCCGAAGGCTGCGGCGGTGACGTTCCCTCCTGCAGGGTCTTGGGAGCTGCGGGAAGCCCCGGCTCAGGGAGCAGGGACGGGGCCCTTGGAGCTTTTTAAGCCTGCAAAAAACAAGCAGATTTTTGAGTGCTGGAGAACTTTAATAATATGACATTTTACACACTGCAGAGGATTTTAGGATGCCTGTACTGTTTATGTCCTATGCAGCCACATATTGAGCCTTCCTCTTTGGGAATACAGCTTACGACACTCAGAAGCTTAAGTGAAACCCTAATTTCTGCTACAGTCAGAGGGAAATACATTGAACAAGATGTGTCTGACGTGATACAAAATACAAAAAATCTGCAAAAAAAAAAATCAAACATCCTTTAGAAAGGAAACCTTCTCTGAGATATTTTATAACTGTACTAAGAACGTTCATATGCAAAGGAAAAACGCTGATGCTTGTGAGATTCAGACTTGTGGAGAAAAATTCATTTCCTCCCATATGTCAATCAAAGACGTGTGTTTTACATATAACCTGGCGCAGGCACTGCAATGTTACCTCCCTGGAGCCTTTCCCCACCTCCCGCAGGATACACGAGATAAAGGAGGGCACTAAATCCGCCGCCGGGATATGGGAGAGGGGAAGGAGACCGATGCCAAGGCCGCCACGAGGCCCCAAACGCGGGCGCGGCCAGAAGCCCCCCGGGCAATTACTGAAAACAAGAGCGCGGCGCCCGCTCGCGCGGAGACGCCGCCGCCACAAGCTGAGGAGGGCGGAGGGAGTCACGGCGGAGCGGGGCGGCCTGCAGCGCTGCCCGCCGCGCCGCGGCCATGTCCGCCCCCCTCGCCCGGGGCGAACCCCGAGCGCGGATACCCCCGACCCGCGGGGCGCGACGGGACTTGTAGTTCGAGGCCGCGCCCGGGCACGCGGCGCGCTGCGCGGGGAACTACATTTCCCAGCATGCCCCGCGGGAGGCCGCGC